TGCAAATAGCATGCACCACAGCACCTCCCCTTGTATGCAGTGCGTTAGTACGTCCATCGCCAGGCCAAACAAAAAAGAGCTGAGTGCCGACCCCTGATGCAACCCCATCATGACTAGAAAATGGTCTGAGTCCCCATTCACCGTCCTCACTCGGGTCTTTGCTCCATCATACATGTCCTTACTCATCCTAAAATAGGCAACAAGTACACCCCTAGCCTCCAAACATCTCCACAAAACCTCCCCCGAGACTTTATCATATGCCATTTCTAAGTCGATGAACACCATATGTAAGTCCTTGTTCCTCTCCCTATACTGCTCCATCAATCTCCTAACAAGGTGGATGACTTTTGTAGTCGAATGCCCCGGCATAAACCCGAACTGGTTCTCAGAAATAGACACACTCTTCCTCACCCTTAGCTCTACCACCCTCCCAGACTTTCATAGTATGGCTAAGCAGCTTGATACTCCAATAGTTATTGCAATTTTGGATATCACCCTTGTTCTTGTATATAGGAACCATCGTGCTCCACCTCCACTCTTCGGGCTTCTTCTTCGTTCTAAAAATGACATTAAATAACCTAGTGAGCCACTCCAAGCCCTCCTTGCCCGCACTCTTCCAAAATTCCACCGGAATTTCATCCGGCCCTATCGCTTTGCCCCTGCTCATCTTATGCATAGCCCCCTCAACCTCATCAACTCTAATCCTCCCACAATACCCAAAGTTATAACGACTCCCGGAGAGTTCCAAATCACCCAGTACAATGCCTTGCCCCTCTCCTCGTTCAAGAGATTATGGAAGCAGGTCTGCCATCTCCGACGGATAATCCCCTCATCCAACAAAACTCCACCTTCTTCGTCCTACCCAAACTCTCCTTGATGAATACAAAAAAGGTAATTTGACCAATTTGGTATCATACAGTTTAACATTTTCTCAAAAGAGTCGTTATTACCATTAAAATCTGAATCATTTTCTTTACTTGTATACAAATTTTATTAATTGATGCGGAATACACATGCAACGCACGTACACTAAAACTAGTATGATATAAATTTAATCCAATCTTAATACAGTATATCCCACCTTATCCCATCAAACTTGGGATTACATTATCCCATCTCTCAAGTGGGATAAATTAGTTCAGGGAATATAATCCTGGGATAATTTAATCCGCCTACCAAACGACCCCTAAATATTAGTGCCGCACTTAAACTTTTGCCTGCATGTGTAAGAATTCATATGCTAGAAAAGACCCTGTGGCAAGTGGTTCCGAATTGGGAAAAAGAAATTAATGCCGTGAAATTCTACACTTTAAAGTTGAATTCGGAATCAAAGTGTGGTTCTTTTGGACTCAAGCGACACAAATAGGTTAAAAAAAAACTGGGCACCATTTTATATATAGCGCAGTTATTCACCGCTCTATACCTTAATGGCAATTTTGTCCATTAAGGTATAGCGCGGTGAATAACCGCGCTATATTTGAACTTAAAATGGGAGGGAGGTATAGCGCGCATATATAAGGCGCTATACTATATGCGTGCTATACTTATTTAAAAAACTGTGCCATCTCCTTCCCCCACCAGACGCGAACCAACTGACCCCAAAACAAAAAAATCGCCCCCCTTTCATTTTTAAAGAAACAACACTCAGTGGACCCCCCCTCGTCTCACAAAAAGTATATCTTCTCGGTATTTTAGCAAGCTTACACCGGAGCTCAGGCGTTATCGCGTAGTGGATTGCTCGTTTCGGCCCCCAAATCATCAAATCTTCACCTTTCAAAAAATTATAAATCGAGATATTCCGACTTACTTTTTGTTAAAACTCATGTATAAAAAATACGTTTAGTTATTTTTTACTGTGATCTATGTTTTTTCGTGATTGTTTTGTGATTTAATGAATTTATTATTTTTTATCCGGATTAGATTATTGTTGTGGTAAAGAATTAGTAAATAGATAAATTATTATTTTATGAATAATTGATGTTATTAGTTGTTATAAAAAATGTTTATTAGTTATTTTTTTACTGTGGTATATGTATTTTTGTGATTATTTTGTGATTAAATTAATTTATTATTTTTTATCCTGATTAGATTATTTATGTGCTAAAAGATTATTAAAATTGATAAATTGTTATTTTATGAATGATTAATGTTATTTAGATTTTATTGTTGTACGTATATTAATATGTGACTTTATTGTTTAGTTCCCTTTAGTGTTATGTTGTGCCCGAAATTGTAATGTAATGCCCGTAATTGTAATCTAGTGCCCTTTAGCGTAGTAAAATGTAGTGCCCTTTAGCGTAGTATCTTTGTAGTTATTGAATATAATCATTTAATTATCTGTTAACCCCAAAAATATTTGAAAAAAGATGAGAGTTCAAACACAAACTCTCTCGAATATTAGTCAACAAATGTAAGAAAATAACATAAAAAATAACTATATTTGTCAAACTAAGTATTTTTATATGAATACTTATTAATTATATCATGTATAGTTATAAAATAATAAACTAACTTATAAAATAATAAACTAACATACAAAATAATAAACTAAGATATAAAATAATAAACTAACATATAGAATAATTAACTAACATATAAAATAATAAACTAATATATAAAATAATAACCTAACATATAAAATAATAAATTAATATATAAAATAATAATATAGAAAATGTATCAACTTAAGTAATCATAGAGTAAAAGTATCGATTAAATATTAATATAAAAGATATTGCAATATATTTAAATACGTTAAGCAATCAAAAATAAAATACTTTAACTAATATTGTTCAATTTACAGATGATCACGCCCAACTATGCCTTATAAAAAGGACTAAGCGGTCGTTGCAAATATAATCCGGTTTACAAGTCCGGAGTCGAATCCCACAGAGAACTAAGGCTTAGCTACAACTGTTCAATATTGCTAAGAAACACAAATCCAAATAATTTTCTAATTATAGAAATTATAATATTTATTTCTAATTAATTAACTAACAACTATTATAAAGCAGTAAAATTATAAACTAACAAGGATGAAATTTGAGACAAGACTAAGGAGGTCTAGAGTTATGATTTTCCCAATTGTCGGAATCCTTCCCGCTATGCCTTCTATAATTTTGCCTAAGTTTTCTCTACCGATCATGAGCGCTCTGAGTGTCGTAATTCTCTCCCGAGTAACTACCATAATTTACTAGACATATTCTTCTGAATTACGCTAGCTGGCACTAAGTACGTCTCACTCGGATCGCACCAAGGTTTCGTTATCCTAATCCCACCTTTAAACCCACTGTATTGATCCCTCATATACGTTAGGAGTGATGTTGTTCAACAACTACCTAAATATGCACTCTCTTCCGAGTAATACATACTAAATAGGCACAATCAATTGAGAGCTCTTCAACCAACCACAATAATAACGTAGTTGAACAAGTAGAGAAATCCAACGGCTCAATTATATAAAAACATAACAAGCATTTATCCTACAAAAGGTTCTATCAAAACTCTAGATAACAAATTATCTATTCATAATAGTATAAAAAACTACAATACTAGAATTTATAACCAATAATGGAAATAGGAAGAAGGAAGTGAAAAACTCGTAGAAGAATTCTCTGCCTTGCTCCTAGTGTGTTCTTGCCTCCTTAGGTCAAATCTCTATCTAATGTCGGTCTCCCTTTCTAAAAATGGTGTTTAATGACTATTTATATGTGTAGGAAAAATGCCTAGACGAAATAACCAAGTCCAAAACCAAATAGGAGACAAAATAGGCCTGAAACGCGGTCTCGCGAACACCTCGCGAAGGCCTCGCGGTGCCTGCTCTAACGCGATCTTTTTCGCTCGCTTCGCCTGATGCTTCTCTGCTTTAATTCATTTTGTTGCTTAACATTTGCTTCAGCTTTTATTCTTGTTTCTTGTCTTCTTTTGTAATTGACTTTTGTCTTCTTTTGTAATGTTACACTTTACTCATTGTATATCCAATAATTAATTGATCATACCTCCATTCTTGTAGTGTATAAAATACACATAAAATCTCTACTTTTCTCCCAGTTTCGTCTTCAACGTACCTACACATAAAATAAGCTCAATTAAGCATAAATATAGTATAGTTTAGAATTAAACCCCTAAAATATAAGGTAAGTAATGCACTAAAAATATATAATTATAGCCAAACATCAACAGACATCGTCATGGAGGTTCCCCCTGTGCATCCCAGACCTGCATCTCGAGAGGTACTATTGCTACAGGGCAACCATAGGTCTTCATACATCTGGGATGGGCAGTGTTTGTCCCAGACATTCCACCCCAGACGTATAGATGATATGTGGGAGTTCATTAGGGACCACCCACTCCATCCCCGTATAGTTAGACGCCTTCAGGATACGGGTTTCTATAGGATCATAGAGATCGGCCGGTTGCAGTTCGACTGGGCGTTGATTACGGCTATGATAGAGCGGTGGCGACCAGAGATGCACACGTTTCATCTACCCATCGGTAAGGCTACCATCACGCTTGAGGACGTGGAGGTTCTTTTCGGGATGTCGGTTGATGGATTACCTATAGCTTACCCGCATGCTCTTAGAGACTATAAGGGAGTGCATTACCTGCATATGTTGCAGCGACTCATCAGTTTCTAGTCAGCGGAGGAGACTGCATTGAGTGGGGTAAGTCGATTGTAGTTGATGCCCATTTGACAGCATCTAGCAGCAATGGATGTGGAGATTACGGATGATTCACTGGCGGAGGATATCGACCGACACATGAGATTGTTGTTGCTGCTGATGTTTGGTGGTGTGCTGTTCCCGAACACTTCGAGAAACCTAGTTAGCTTGAGATTTCTACATCATCTGGAGCGACTAGATGATTTACCTAGTTACAACTGGGGTGCAACTGTTCTAGGTTACATGTATAGGCAGATGTGCCGAGCGTGCATGGGCAACTAGATGTGACATGCACGCCTGGCACATCTGCCTATACAGGTAACCTAGAACAGCTGCACCCTAGCTGTAACAAGGTAAATCATCTAGCCACTCCAGATGATGTAGAAATATCAAGCTGACTAGATTTCTCGAAGTGTTCAAGAACAGTACACCACCAAACATTAGCAGTAACAACAATCTCGTGTGCCGGTCGATATCCTCCGCCGGTAAATCATCCGTAATCTCCGCATCCATCGCCGCCAGATGCTGCCGGACGGGCGTCAGCTGTAATCGACTCGCCCCACTCAATGCAGTCTCCTCCGCTGGCTAGAAAGCGGTGAGTCGCTGCAACATATGCAGGTAATGCACTCTCCTATAGTCTCTAAGAGCATGCGGGTAAGCTACAGGTAATCCATCAACCGACATCCCGAAGAGAACCTCCACGTCCTCAAGCGTGATGGTAGCCTCGTCGATGGGTAGATGAAACGTATGTATCTCCGGTCGCCACCGCTCTATCATAGCCATGATCAACGCCCAGTCGAACTACAACCGGCCGATCTCTATGGTCCTGTAGAAACCCGTATCCTGAAGGCGTCTAACTATACGGGGATGGAGTGGGTGGTCCCTAATGAACTCCCACATATCGTCTATACGTTTGGGGCGAAATGTCCGGGACAAACACTGCCCATCCCAGATATATGAAGACCTATGGTTGCCCTGTAGCAACAGTAACTCTCGAGATGCAGGCCCGGGATGCACAAGGGAAACCTCCATGACGATGTCTGTAAATTGAACAATATTAATTAAAGTATTTTTCTTTTTGATTGCTTAACGTCTTTAAATATATTCCAATATCTTTTATATTAATATTTAATCGATATTTTTACTATATTATTACTTAAGTTGATACATTTTCTATATTATTATTTTATATGTTAGGTTATTATTTTATATATTAGTTTATTATTTTATATATTAGTTATTTATTCTATATGTTAGTTTATTATTTTATACGTTAGTTTATTATTTTATATGTTTGTTTCTTATTTTATACGTTAGTTTATTATTTTATATGTTTGTTTATTATTTTATATGTTTGTTTATTACTTTCTATGTTTGTTTCTTATTTTATATGTTAGTTTATTATTTTATAACTATACATGATATAATTAATAAGTATTGATATAAAAATACTTAGTTTGACAAATATTGTTGTTTTTATGTTATTTTCTTATATTTGTTGACGAACATTCGAGAGAGTTTGTGTTTGAACTATCATCTTTTTTTCAAATATTCTTGGGGTTAAGAGATAATGAAATGATTAATTTCAATAACTACAAAGATACTACGCTAAAGGGCACTACATTTTACTACGCTAAAGGGCACTAGATTACAATTACGTGCACTACATTTTGGGGTCTGCTGGTTCGCGTATGGTGGGGGAAGGAGATGGAACTATTTTTTATATAGGTATAGCGCGCATGTTGCTCTCAAACGCACAAGCAAATATACGTGGTCGTACAAGTAATATAGAATTGTAAGTCCAGATATTGTACCCACAGGGACTTGTGATTATCTATCAACTAAATTAAACCCAAACAATTAATCTATTCAAGTGAATCCTAATGTAGCGACCCGTCGGCCGTTTTTAGCATTGGAACTTTGCTCGGTAGTTTACGGCACGAGTAGCTCCGTATGATGTAATTTGATTTGTGTGAATCGTCGGTTTTGATTTTTAGGTTATTTGGGACCGATTTGGAAGAATAATTCTCAACTAGGGAGCTTTAAATTGGAAAGAGTTGACCAAGTTTGACTTTTTAGCATTTGACCTCAAACTGAAATTTTGATGGTTCTGTTAGCTCCGTTGGGCGATTTTGGACTTAGAAACTCGTCCGGATTATGATATGGAGGCCCGTGGTTGAATTTGGCTCGAAATGGCAAAAGTTAAAATTTTGAAAAGTTTGACCGGGAGTGGAATTTTTGATATCGTGGTTGAATTCCGATTTCGAAAGTTAGAACAGGTCCGTAATGTTGAATGTGACGTGTGTGCAAAATTTGAGGTCAATCAGACGTAATTTGATAGGTTTCGGCATCGGTTGTGGAAGTTGAATTTTCAAAGTTCATTGATTTTGAATTTAGGTGTGATTCGTCGTTTCGATGTTGTTAGGTGTGATTTGAGGCCTCGAGAAGGTCCGTATTATGTTATGGGACTTGTTGGTATAATCAAACGGGGTCCCGAGTGGCTCAGATGAGTTTTGGACAAGGTTCGAATCATTTTCACTTCATGTTGCATTGCTGAAGACTGCTGGATTCTGGTATGATCGCACCTGCGGTTGGTTTGCGCAAGTGCGATGGCCTCAGAAGCGACAAAGGCATCACAGATGCGAGATGAGAGCTGGATGAGTAGGCCTGCATAAGCAGAGAAAAGGGCGCAAGTGCGGATGCGCAGGTGCGTCGAGTAGAAGCGCAGGTGCGAGTGACTTCGCAGATGCAGAGTTTGATACCGTAGGTGCGGGGATTGCTGGGCAAGGCCATTTTTCGCATAAGCGATTTTTTTCCGCAAAAGTAGTGGTCGCAGGTGCGACGAAGTTTTCGCAAATGCGAAAATTGCTGGGCAGAACCTATAATTCGAGGTCTTTGGTTTTCTATCTTCATTTTCGGATTTTGGAGCTCGGATTGGGTGACTTTGGAAAGGAAATTTTCCACACAACTTGGGGTAAGTGTTTTCTACTCATTTTTGATCTTATATCACGAATCTACCTTCGGTTTTGGTAATTGGATTGTGAATTTTATCGAGGAAACTAGGGGTTTTGGCCTAAAGTTTCATAATATGAATTTTTGAGTTTTAAACATCGAGTTGGAGTCGGATTTGAGTGAAACTAGTATGGTTGGACTCGTAATTGAATGGATTGTTAAATTTTGTAAATTTTGTCGGGTTCCGATGTGCAGGCCTGGGTTGGTTCCTTTAGCATTGTTTGATGCATTTGAGTTATTTTTGGTTAGTTTCGAGCCGTTCGGAGGTCGGAACGCGCGGGATGGCATTTTGGAGCATCGCTTGGCTTGCTCGGTGTTGGAATTGGCTTGTTCGAGGTAAGTAACTCTTCTAATCTTGGAGCTGAGGGCATGAACTCTGACTATATGTGTTAAGTGATTGGTGTTGCGGCGACACACATGCTAGGTGATAGGCGTGTGGGTGTGCACCATGTGAACTGTGATTCCGTTATTTCTGTAGTACTGTGTAGTTACCTGAACTTGTCTGAAATCATGAAATCTCTACGTACTACAGTTATCGAACTGTGATTGTTTTAGAAACCATGTCTAGGTTACATGCTTATTGTGTTGGGACCCCCTTAGGTCATTTCTGTTGTTGAGTAATCTGATTTCATTGCATTACATACTCAGTCATACGCATTCACATGCATATCATATCTCAGTCTCTGTTATTATTTATTGATGTATCATATCATTGTTTTCGGGCTAGTATCATGACATTGTGAGCCCGAGAGACTGGAGAGATTGATAACTGAGTGAGGCCAAGGGCCTGGTTGTGAGGATGATTATGGGATCGGGCTGCACACCGTAGCGGGTCAGATTGGCTTACTGTAGTACGTGAGTTGTCCGTGCAGCACGTGAGTTGTCTGTGCGATTCCAGATATTGATATTATGGCACATGAGTTGTCCGTGCAGCACGTGAGTTGTCCATGCGGATTATAGCGCTTGGGCTGTTAGGAGCCCCTCCGGAGTCTGCACACCCCCAGTGAGCGCAGGTACCTAATTTGCATCGCATTTGGCATGCACACTTGACATACAGGCATATAGATGCATTTTTCCTCCTATTGTATAGTATCACGACATTTATGACTTCTCATACATTTTTACATATGGGCATAGAGACATCTTACACTTGCTATCTGAAAGGAAAATGAAACATCTTCTTTATTGTTGAAAGGAATTTTGGGAAAAATCATAGTTTTCAAACTTACTCGTATTTTGGCTGTTTCGGTAAAAGATTTGGGTTTCATCGAGATACTTGAAAAGAAATGCCTATCTTTCTGGCACTGTGATCGAACTGAGCATTTTATTTCTGAGATACCTCTTTTGTTACTTGTACTATGCTGTTATCAACTGTTGTGGAATATTTGTGTTGGACCCGACCTTTGTGTTAGCTCATCACTACTTTCAACCTAAGGTTAGGTTTGTTACTTATTGAGTACATGGGGTCAGTTGTACTCATACTACACTTCTATACTTTGCGTGCAGATACTGACTGCTGATGTTGCTATGTTCAATGGGAGATGGATTTGAAGATATACCTGCATCCCGGTTGTAGCTGCCTCTTGTTCATGGTAGCCTTAGATCTATAAAACTCTGTTAATGTAATTTTCAAACAGATGATGTATTTACTTCATTTCCGCTTTGTAAACTATATTCTTAGAAGCTCATGATTTGTACTATCAGTCCTTGGGAAATGTATAAGATTCAGATATTTCTTTACTTAATCGCTTTATTAATTGTTATTGGAATTGGTTAGTGGTTAATTGGCTTACCTAGCGGGTTGGGTTATGTGTCATCACGACTAGTGGATTTGGGAGTCGTGACAAGGTGGTATCAGAGCTCTAGGTTCATAAGTTCTACAAGTCATGAGCAAGTGTCTAGTAGAGTCTTGCGGATCGGTGTGATGACGTCCATACCTATCTTCGAGAGGCTACATGACATTTAGGATATACTTTCCATTTTTCTTTCCTTATCGTGCAACATTGATTTAGCTTTAAGCGTAACTCTTTAAATTCCTTCCACGCATTCATATGCACATGTGAGCGCTCAGTATCGGCTATGCGCAGGTGGCTTGTGATTCCATAGTTGAGGTGCGAGATATGATTTTGGCGTGGTGATGATGGGCCAGTCTGGAGGACTTGAGGCCGAGTTTTGATGGTAGCTTGAGCACGAAGATTTCGATTATGTGAGCACGTGCTTTTGGGACTTATAGGTCCGTTGGTGTCCCCATTAGTGGAATTTATGATTGGATGACTATGTGGTGAGAATGATGTGACTGCGAGATGTGTTCAGATTGTACGATTATGATGAGAAGAGTTTACTTGATATGTAGCAAGGACTATTAGGTGTTTGATTCCTATCTTGATTTGGCATATGGTCTCGAGTTATGGGTGTGTTGAGGGATCTCTCATGTTTTTTAGTTATGGAGTAAAGTAGATTCTCATGTCTTGTTGATGAGTTCAGAAGCGAGAAGATAAAGTGATTGTGTAGTAGTCGTGACTGTGGAAGGGTATAAGGAGATGTCAGTTTGAGGCAAAGCAGGTGGGTTGTCTCCTGCGAGGTGTCCTGAGGTTGATCCCTATGATGATTTGTAGAGAGTTCTCCTTTACTAGTGAATGATATATGTTGCAATTTGAGTTTAGATCGCTTGCGGAAGTTGGCTTAACCATCACAAGGATGAATGCGAGATTGCAGATGATTGAGGTACTAGATGGTTTGTGTTGCATGAGCCGATGAAGGATTTAGTTTAA